GAGAAAGGGGCAAACCTGCAGGAGATCCCAGGAGTGAGTCACACATGCAAGGATGCTTCCCGAGGAACATCATTTATTTAGTAGTGACGGGGTTGCTTTTTTTTTTTTATTTCATAAATATTTAAACCACCTGCTTCTGATTTAAACAAAAATTAACAAAGATCCAGAGGATTTCTAGACCATGTAGAAACACAGGGTTTCTGCCCTCAGATATCATCCAGTCTAGTAACAGTCAAGAAAAGGAAAATTTTACCAATAGGTGATAACAAAGGGTAGAAGTCTTGAAGCCTCCAGCTAGGGTGGAAATAAAGCTCAGGCTTGGAGATTCCAGTAGAGGAGAGATTATTTCCGGCTAAAGGGCTGTTCCCAGTTAAACCAAGTTTGGCCGAACTTCCACTGTTATGTGTCCCATGTAGGTGAAGTTATGGAAGGTTGCTTTTCTGTAGGATGCCTCCTTGGTATAGAATAAGTATTTTATTCCTAGAACTTTCAGTATCTGCCCTTTTACCAACTTAAAGCTTCACTTTCCTCCTTCTAAAATTTCTTAAATGATCATTTTAGGAGTTAATAGTCTCTGTCTCTCTCTCTTTCCTTCTTGTTTGTTTTTTTGAGACGGAGTTTCTTTGTGTAGCTGCTCTTGCTGTGCCTGAATTCCCTCTGTAGGCCAGGCTAGCCTGAACTCACAGGGATTCGCCTGCCTCTGCCTTGCAGGTGCTAGGATTAAAAGTGTGCACCTCTACCACCCAGGGTCAATTTCTTCTTTTAACCAAAATAATTAACAATCTTTCTAAGTGTTGCTATGATGATTGAGATTTGGTTTCAGATTTGGGTCTGAGATTCTTAGCAGCCAAGGCAAAGAGACAGAAGGTCTAAGTGACATCAGTCTTACTACTGGTAGAAGAATACTCATCTTTAAATGAAGTTATAGAACGAGTTTTCAATACAGAGCACCTAAAAATAGCACTGGGGGATGTAAAAGTACTTTCATAGAAAAAGGAAAGTGTATATCACAGCCCACTTCCTGTAATAGCTTTCCATAGATGGCCAAGATTTGAGTAAAAAACAAATCTTTGCAGACTCCTGCTTTTAGGGATCCATCTTGCACACCAAATGGCACAGCTACCAAGCTGCCTTCCCTGTAGCTTGTCTCTTTGATGGGATCTCATAAGAAACATTTTTAAATTAAACAACATCTGGTGTGTTGGGGGAGGTCCTTCTGTGTATATGTTTGTCTTATTGGTTGATGAATAAAAAACTGTTGGCCAATAGGAAAGCAAGATAAGTGGGATTGGGAGGTGAGGAGAATTCTGGGAAATGTAGCAAAGTCTTGTGATCCAGATAGGAAGTGATATAGCAGGCAGACTCAGAATATAAGCAGGGACAAGCAGGAGGTCGCTCTCTTCCTCCTGCTCTCTGCCCTGGAGCTGCCATGTGATCCCAGCAAGAGAAGATGCCTGCCATTGTCATCCAATCAGATAAATCTTTATAAAATATATAGATTAAGAAATCCTAGGCAGGCGTTGGTGGTGCATGCCTTTAATCCCAGCACTCGGGAGGCAGAGGCAGGTGGATCTCTGTGAGTTCGAGGCCAGCCTGGCCTCCAGAGGGAGTGCCAGGATAGGCTCCAAAGCTACACAGAGAAACTCTGTCTCGAAAAACCAAAAAAAAAAAAAAGAAAAAAGAAAAAAAAAAAGAAGAGAGAGAGAGAGAAAAAAAAAATCCTAGTCATTGGCCAGCAGCATTGTACCTAAGTCTCTGTGTGTTATTTTGGTCACCCACGTGGCAGCAGGGCTCGGGCGGCTTGGTAGAAAGATTTATCGTTACACTGGTGTGCTGACATTACTTTTAGATAATGGAGGCCAGCTTTGCCGGCACTGATGGCTAAAACTGCCAGATCTCTTCAACAGCGGAACCTTGGGTTGCTCAGACATAGATGGTGGGTCATCTTGAGGGTGAGCCAAAATTTTCCTTAGGTAGTTGCTTTGAATAAGCTGTAATACTTGAACAAATGTTCCAGTCACGGAGCTCCACACTGTTTGGACATTGAAAACATTCTGAAGCTGCCATTTCCATGTCACCTGCAGCGGCTGGTGGGCAGCTCCAGCAGGCCTCCCACAGGCACCTCTGACTGGACAAGTTGGCTTTCCCCTTATACTTCAGGGTGAGCTTGTGGCAAAATGGAACCAAATGCTGGAGTTTGTCTCCACTGTTAGATACCACCAACATTTGGTGTTGAGGTCATTTCTAGTTTATAACAATTAAACAAAGTCAGCAGACTATGGGACAATATTTATCTTCCCATTTACTGTGACAGAGGAAAATTTCAAGAAAAGGCAGTTGTCCCATGTTATGAGGAGCATAAATATTGTATTTGATATTTTTGTTTGTCTTGATTCTAATGAGAATGTTGGAATGAAGGATGTTTTTAGTGCTTTTTTTTTACTGTGACAAAATATTCAAAACAAAATCTACCATTTTAATTAATTTTTCTTTTAAACTTTGTCAGGAGCAGAGAACTGATTCCATTAGGGAATTTCTCAAGGTCCAAACCCCTGGTTTCAGTAACCAGGAGCTCTGGTCTGCATAGGATTTGCAGATGCTAGCTAATCTGCTATTGAATGGCACAGCCTCAGTGGAGAATGCCTCCTAGTTTGCATCTCTACAGAACTAAGCATTTGAATAGGCCTGCACCAGGGTGGAGGGCTAGGTGTATGAGACAAGTGAGGACAGATAGTGAGGAAGTATCAGTCTACAGGAAAGGAGTCGGTTGAGAGAGATCTGCTGATAGGGCCTAGCAAATTAGAAGAGAATCCATCTCAGGGTCAGGGAAGCACGGTAAGGAAACAGCCAGGAGGATGCTGAATAAAGAAGAGACTCCAGTTTTGCAGCATGGAACTGAGAGCTCTCTAAAGACGACAAGATGCCTATGTCTGGTCTTTATTGCCGTTGAGTTACTAGGAATTTCCAAGTCCATGCTCCCCCACTCAGGCTGAACCTCATGGTTTCCATGGTTTGGGGCTGAGACATGCCAGGCCACGACAAAACTTAAAGGAGAGTTTATTATTTTGGCTTACAGTTTGAGAGGCTACAGTTCACCATGGTAGGGAAGACACAACAGCATCAACCTAAGCAGCTGGATATAGCCTCCAGTCAAAGACCACCCACTGTTTATGAAGTTTATCTTTTATTAGTTTAATTATGTGTCTCTGTGTGGATGTATGCTTATGGCTGTAGGTAAGCTCAATAGGTCAGAGGTTTCAGATGCCCAGAGTCCCTGGAGATACAAGTGGTTGTGAGCAATCTAACCTGGGCACTGGGATCTGAACATGAGTCCTTTACAAGAGCACACTCTTAACCCTTGAGCCATCTCTGCAGCCTCCAGAATCAAAGTATCCAAGACTTGTGGGATGGATTTCCATTCACGCTGTTAAGTAGACATCACCCACCCTTCCTTGAGAACACTTCATCTTCCTCAGTAGAAGTTCTATATCCATTAAACACGAGTTCCCCTTTAAGCGTCCCGCCCCCCCATCCTGAAAGATACCATCCTACTTGGCATCTCTATGAATTTGACCACTCTTGGTACCTCACATGAATATCATCATGCAATGCTTGTATTTTGGCCACTGGCTAATTTCACTTAGCACACTCTCTAAAAGGAGAATGCTTTTAACGGGAGACTATGAATGATCTATGTTGAAAATATACACTGTGGCCCATGGTGAGAAACACCATGACCAAAAAGCAAGTTGGAGATGAAAGAGTTTATTTGGCTTACATTTCTACCTCACTGTTCATCAACAAAGGAAGTCAGGATAAGATCTCAAGCAGGGCAGAAACCTGGAGGCAGGAGCCCATGCAAAGGCTGATTACTGGCCTTTTCATCATGGCTTGCCCAGCTTACTTTCTTATAGTGTTAAACCCCCGAAAACTCAAGTATCCGGGGTCCCAGGCCACGTTCGCGGTCCCCCCAATCACCAGGCAGATTCGAGAGCGTGCTGCAAACTGCAAGAGTCTTTATTGTAATTTAACGAGCTAACCCCATGTTAGCGCGGGTCTTTCCCCCCCCTGCCATGGTGGACAGCTAGACAAGACGGCTCCTAGGGTCTCCCAAACGATCTTATAGGGCAGCGTAAGGGGAGTGTCTAGGGGTACGCACAGGCTCACGATTAGTGGGCTTCCAGGCTGGAGTGCTTGCCCGGTGTTGATTGGCCAACTGGTTGTTATGGCCCATAGGCCCTCCCAGGGGGGTTGCTATGCTTTCTACGTCCTTGCTGTGCGCTTATCCGTAAAGCACACTCAGGGTCTTAAAGCAGAGCGCCACCAGCTAACTTCCGATTGGTTCCTTGTCACGAGACAGGCATCTGACCTTTAAGTGACCAAGGCAGGTTTATGGCAAGCACGTGTTCGGCCGTTATGGCTGCCAAAAGGGAAGCTGGTCCCTTCACTTTTAATAAAACATGGATTGGGTACTCACTACATTGATAAAAAAGACAAGTAAATAAACAATTGCAACATGAAGTGATAATGCTAAAGTCGAAATACATGAAAAATAGTGTTGGTAGACAGAGCACAGTATGGTTACAGCGTGCATTCTTGCAGTGAGGTTTCATGGATTGGGTTGGATCTAGAAGATGAGTGGCAGTCTCTGAGCTAAGGAAGAAGAAACAGAACACCTGGAGGGTGGAATATCAGATCCCAGATCACAGAGGCATGTGCAACATGGTGTGTGGCAAGCCCTGGGAGTCTGGTGTTTTGGGAAGGAGGAACCAGGGCAGCAGAACAGTTACAGTTGCTTGAAGGATGAATGAAGGAGTGGACAATGAGGTTAGAGAGAACAGTTGGGGACCAAAGAACCCTGATGGCATGCCCATCAAGACTCCAAGCTGAGACACTATGAATAGATGAGAAAAGTGTCTTCTATTGCTGTTAAGAAACACCATGACTGTGACAACTCTTATAAGAGAAAACATTTAATTGGGGCTTGCTTTCCATTTCAGAGGTTCAATCCATTGTCATCATGGTAGGGAGCATGGTGGCATGCAGGCAGACATGGTGCTGGAGAAGTAACTAAGAGCTCTACATCTGGATCCACAGGAAGCAGGAAGACACGGTGAGCCAGTGGGCCTGACTTGGACTTTTGAAACCTCAAAGTGCACCCTCAGTGACACACTTCTGCCAACAAGACCACACCTCCTAATCCTTACCAAGTTGTATCCACTCCCTGATGACAAAGCATTCAAACATACCAGTCTATGGAGCCATCCTTTTTTTTTTTTTTAAATGGGGGCCATTCTTCTATTCTTATTCAGAGCACCACAAAATTTGTTTTGGAAAAGAAGACATTTGAGAAAGGGGCTGAAGGATGTAACAGAGTGAATCCTGTGTACGTAGAGGGAAAGCATTTCAGAAAGTACAAACACATGTGTCATTCCAAGGGAGGGGCATGCTGTCTACGGAGGGCCATGGAGGACGTCAGTGTGCTTCTCATCTTTCTATGGCTGTGACAAATATACCTGAAAGAGACAACCGAAAAGAAGGAATCTTTCATTCTGACTCATTTCCCCCCCAAACGTTTCAGTCAGTGGTTTGTTAACCCTGTTGCTTTTGAACCCATGATCTTGGTATGTCACAGTGGAAGCCCAGGCCGTGGGATGCTTGGCCATCTCATGGTGATACATAAACAAAAAGAGAAGTTTGTGCAACTCCTGAAACCTAGGCTGCATCCACTAACCTTCACCTTTTAAAAGCTCTACAGGGTCCTGATGGTGCCACAGGAGGGGACTGATCACTGAAGCATGAACTTTGGAGGACTCTAGGTCTAAACTATAGTGACCATCATGGCCAGAGACCAATGTGGTAATCTGGAAAGAAACGAGGGAGACAGATCAGAGAAACCAAACCGTCACTGAGAATGTTTGGCTGTAGGTGAAAGCATGGCTGAGTAACGTTGATAATGTAGATTCCGTGCCCGATCTTAACCCTAGGCACCCTTTGATGTTGTAAATGAGCAAAGCCGCAGGAAACAGCTGTTTGGTCCCTTGAATGACAACTGGCAGATACTTCCCTCATGCCCAGCTGCCTTGAGCATGGAGCATGCAGCTCCTTCCTTCACTACCTTATTTGTTCATTCCATGATTGCTCTGAGGAAGCACCACTCTAGCTAGGAAACCCACTCCAACTGCAGCTGCTGTGGAAGTTGTGACTCCAGAGTGAGAGGTCCTATTTTAGGCATGACTGCTTCGGGAACCTTGCATCTGCTTTGGAAGAGTCCACCACAGGTAAAAAGCAGCCACAGAGAACTCTGGATGACCCTACACTTTCTCATGCAGGGAAGGAATGGGAATGCCTTGCCCTCTGGCTTATCTAAGTACCCCCACCCCCTCATCGGTAGAAATGGAAGCCATGTATGTTCAGGACTGTGGCTGGTGAAACGGCAACCTTAACTATGCACTTCTAGTCCTCTTCTAGCTACATAAATAGGCCATTTCTCCAAAAGGCTTCTCTCCTGTGTTGCAACATCAGACCACACTTAAGTTTCCTTCCAAATGGTATTTCCATGCTTGGGGTCTTACTGGTAGGGCTGGCTGAGCTCCTTACACAAAGAATAGACCAAACTTCTCCGGGACCTGGAATGAGCCAGTGGGGAAGCTGCAGTACAGCTCCAGAGTCCCAGAGCTCCTTAATGCCCAAGACTCAGAGCTGAAAAATCAAAGATCTACTGAGAGGTAAAGGCCTGGTGCCTGCATCCCTGAGCCACAACACCGAGAGAGGAAGGTTCAAGAGCTCCAGAGGGTGGTCAAGGACAGAATGTGCAGGATGCAACCACAATGGACAGTCCAAATGTGGTGGGAGGCTGAGATACTGGTTGGTAAGCAATAAAGGAGGAAGCAGATTGTGAGGGATGCAAACCCTAATGGTAAGAGTTCAAGGGAGCTGTTAACTGTTAATTCACCAAGGCTCCCAACACCTGAGGCTCAGAGTCCCTCCAGCCAGTGAGTGTTAGGACTCTGGGATCTAGAGCAGTAAGCTTCTAGCTTCAAAAGCCTGACGCCTGTGATGGTCAACCCTGCCTGTTTGACAAGAGGTGAATCACCTAGGAGACAAACTACTGGACAGTCCTGTTCAGGTCTATGTAGATAGGCCAATCAATGTGGACCATCCACCTTCACTGTGAGCAGCTCTATTCCAATAAGCAAGGCTATCCCACATTCCTAGTGGAAGCAATGACCTGGCTATGGCAGGACAGAGTATGAGATTGCATGGCTTCTAATATGAGAAAAGAGCATGGCAATCAAAAAAGTTTTTGTTGTTGTCTTTTTAAGTAGTTTAACAATGTGGATTTCTTTGAGATGGCAAGTTGGGGTAATGGCTACATTAGGACACGATGGGAAAGTTCCCTTTTCGACATATTTTTTTATTGCATTCATTTTATTTTTACTGAGTCATATACCCCATACAGGCTATAGTGAGCTGTTTGTTGAGAAAATAAATAAATAACAACCCTCCCTTCCTCCTGGTCCCTATTGCCAAATGGAAAAAGAAATTGGGTGTGCTGTTGGAAGTCTTCGGACTGATTTTTAAAAAGATCAACAGTTTAATTTCAAAGCCTCCACAATTACAGTTTTGTGAACATCGGCTACATGCTTCCTTTTTAACTTTAGTGTCAATTTATGGTAATAAGTGAAATATCTGTGTTGTATGTGCCGCTGTGTGGAGGCTGAGGGGCTATGTCCAGTGTCTTTCTCTTCACTTTATTCTCTGAGATAGGGTCTCTCACTGAGAACGGAGCTCCATCATTTTAGATAGAGTGGGTGGCCAGCAATCCCAGAAATCTTCCTGTCACTGTTCCCTGAAGCTCTGGAGTTATAGGCCAAGCTACACACTTCAAACATCTTATCCACTGAGCCAGTCCACCTCCCCCATCAATATTTGCAATTACAGTAGTATGTTTTATAAGATATATTTGGTTACCAAATAAGCAAATCAATAGTATCTTTTATAAGATATTTTTATCTTTTATATATATATATATATCTTATATATATCTTATATATATCTTTTATATATATATCTTTTATATATCTTTTATAAGATATATATGCTAAGTATATATCTTTTATAAGATATATATTTTAAGTATATATCTTTAAATATTTTATGTAAGATAAATATATATTTATATATGATAAAATATATATCGACTTTTTTCATCGGATAAAATTGTTCTAAAACAAACTCGGTGAGAGCAACTGTTTGCAGCAGCATAAAACAAAATCTGTTGTTCAGTGCCTTCCTTTTCTCAGAACTTAGAGGTAGGTGGATGAGAAGAAAGAAAAATGTTAACTCATTTGGAATTTGATGGAGAGGAGAAAGAGGGAGAGGGGAGAGAGAGGAAGATAGAGAACAACCAGAATCTAAAACAAAAGACCTACTATGAACGCCACCCACCAGCACAGCAAACTTGAGTCTTTTGGGTTATGACTACATCTACAACTCCAACACTTTCACCCGCGGCTGCCTCGAGACTCAGATTTGGGTGCTAGCTCAACCAAAGCAGGGATGTCCTTTGAGTTTGAAGAGCACAGAAGACAATTTTGTGAGTGTCCCGGTGCCATGTGTCATTTATCCTCTGCGTTAACGTCTTTTTGTTCCTAAATTCCAAGATGTTCTATTCGGTATTTTCTTCCCTTGCTTCAGAACCCTGTACCTCACCACCACATCTTAGAAATTCTAAATTACCTTGCATTCTAACAACCCACCCTGAACGTGAAGAACAAAACAAGGAAGGGTGTTGATCTTTAAAAACCCCTTCCTGTTCATCACACCATGTCCTCCAAGATTCCAAATCCTTTCCTTTCTTATGTAACTTTTACTCCTAGGTCAACAAATATTTGATCCTTTCGAACAGATGTGTTTGTAGATTTCCGCGAGGAGTCCTCTAGAAATAATTTAGGGCAACGGGAGAAGATAGTTTTTCCTCAGGAGAGCCTTAGGCATGCAATCTCTGATCCGCGTCCTAAAGGCTGGAGGAAGACGGGAGAGGATGCAAACTCCCTGGCTGGACCAGAGAAACCTAACCAGATACCCTTCTTATTCTCCAACCGACTTAGGTGGAACCACAAATGCCTGATTGGGGCAACAGCGCGCCTAACCGTGATTTGCAGCCTAGCCGTGGCTGCGAGAAGCCCATTGGCTGCAAGCCGGCGCCGCGCAGTCTGAGGGGGCGTGGCTTGGAGGGGTGGGGCCTAGTGGAGATTTGGCTACTGCCTTCACCCCACCTCGCGTTCCCTTCTTGGGGGTCTCTTATTTGGCCGGGTTTTGCCCCCTTTGAGAAGAAAGGTAGCAATTTCGTAGCTGTCGAGGCTCTGCAGAGAGTCTCTCCATCACGCTCCCTGGAGGCAGAGCTCTGGTGCTGGGTGGTAGCCGCCCAAAGGTCCTGGCAAGGGAACCAGCTCCCCTGGCAGGATTGCCTAGACCAGGGTGACCTTTTCTCCGCTCGCACTGCAGCTACACCGATCTGCACAAGAGCACGGAGCAGGCACGCTGCAGAGTCCCTCTCCTGGCACACCCCCACCTTAACTGCCCCACACCTCACATGCGGGACTCTCCATCCTCGCCACCTCGACTCTTAACTTTCACCGCCTTAACTTCCACCCAATCTTCTGGAGTCTTATCCCTTGTGCGGGCCACACTCCCCAGACTCCTCTCTCCCGGTGGCACCTTCCCTGCAGTCCCTAAGGAGCGCCCTCGCTAAACTTCCAGGCTTACATTGAGGGACCGTCCTGGCGAGCATCCTTCGAGATCACCCCCACACAAACACGCTCTCATTCACATTCCGCCCCAGGCGCGGCCCTCGCTGCGCGGTGGCCCCTCGCGCCGCGGATCGTGGGAACCAGGCGGAGCCCCTTCGTCCCTATCCCTCCTGGGTCATCCATCTCCCACCCAGTCTGCTGCGGAGACTTCAAAGGCGGCCCTGCCGGCGCGGTCTTCCTGACCGAGTGCGAAGTGCAGACGGCTGGGGCGCTCGGCGTGGGGGAGGCCAGTTGGCGCATCCATACAGGCTTCGTCCCGCAAGCAGCCTAGTGGGTATCGAAATGACTTCGGGTCTAGCCACAAGACAGTTCCTGACAAGGCCGTGCCACACTCTGGCCACCTAGGCTGGCTGCCCCCACCGTTTGGTCCCGTGAGAGGACCTCGATTCGTTCCATAGGAAATTTGGATCAGGACTGACTCCCAGAAGAGAAAAATGATTCCTAGCGCTTGCCCCTCTCCTTAAAAACACAAAGTCTCCAGGAGCTTAACACACACTTCCTTCTTCCTTCCCTCCCTCCTATTCGGACACCTCTAATTGACAGGCTCTAATCCTCAGATCGGAACTACTTCTGCCGGGAAGATTTGTCCCGCTTTTCCTTTTCTCTCAGCATTCCTGAAAAGCCAATTCGTTCTGAGCTGCATTGATGGAGGGAAAGGGGCGGGGGAGGGCGACTTCCAACTTCAGGCACCACCTGGGTGGTCGCCATAACCCAGAGGTTCCTTGTCAGCCCTGTATTCTCCACTCTATAAAGACAACTTTGCGGGAGTCGCCAAGGTTTAAGTCTCTTCATCATGGATCTGAGATGTACACTCATCGATTTATATTTATTTATAATCAACTACAGTGTGAGCTTTTAGGAGGATGATGGTTCCCTGTGCATGACTGACTGTAGCTGTGTTTGGGAGGATGATGGATGATTCTGTGTATGACTGACTGTAGCTGTGTCTTTGTTTATGGTGAGTTCAATAGAACAAGCTTTTTTACAGCAAGCTTTCTAGACACAGTTTCACATACTAGTATCAGTTTCACATATTAGTATCAGGGTTCCACAACTCTGTATTTTGGTTGGATGTGGTTTTCTGTAGATAAAACACACCAAGAAAAGGTTAGCTAGTATTAAGCCCCCATTTCCTATTAGAGATAATGTTGTATAACAACTCGTATTGGTGGTCTCCTGAATTGTATATGAAGTTGTGTCCCTTGCTTTTGCCCCTAGATGTGGAATTTACTGAGTTGGGTAGTCATATATCTTTCTCTTTTACCCTTTCCTCCATACCCTCTTTAGGTGCTACAAGAAAACTGCCACCTCCTGCCACTTTTGGTTACAAAATAGTGTGCTATTTAATTTGGTTTTTCCTAACCACGAATTCAAATCTTTGAAACTATCATCCTTCAATGGAGTGTCCTGTGGGAATAAACCTTTGTTCCCTTTCACTGACTTCTTTCCATTTTGACCAATTTTTCCAAATTGCCCCCTAATTTCCTACAAAGGAAATCTGATTTCGTTAACCCAACACCTTTCAAATAGGACAAATTTGTAAAAGTCTAGGCTACCTCTGGTTTACTATCTGTATCAAATTGTAATGCTTGGGCCAGGAAGGGTTTAGCCCCTGGTGTATATTGCCAGCTGCATGTCTTGTGTTTCCATTGCCTGTACTCTATCCAGAGCTACTTCTGACTGTGTCAATGTATATTAAAGGTCTCCAGCATGCATTTCTTCAGCCTGATTCTGCCTTTTTCTTCCCTCACCTACTCACCCTGTTTTTTGTTTTGTTTTGTTTTTTATTTCCGTGTCTTCCCTACTTTGCTTCATGGTGACAAAACAATGTTTTCCATGTTCATTTTGTGTCTCTAGTTCCCACCCTAGAGCTAGCCCAATAGCTGGACTTCACATTCTGGCTTTGCCACTTATGAACTAGCAGTTCAGATCAGTTATGTAAACCTCAGTGGGGTGGGGTTGATGTCTTTATTTGTGTAGGTAGCTAAAGCTCTCAGAATCAAGTATGGAATAAAGCAAATTTACAGTATTATTATACCTTGTTACTGTTAAAATCAGTTGGTGGCCTGTGAGATGACTCCATTGGTAAAGAAGCTTGCTGCCAAGCCTGAGGACCCAAGTTCCATCCCCAGGATCCCCAGGATGGAAAGAAAGAACCAACTCCTGTAATCTGACCTTTTACCTCCACACAAGTGCTCTATGTGGCATGCCTTGCCTGATTCCCCACCATGGGTAAATGTAGTGCTTTGGAACAATATTTTTGTGAATATTTATGGCTCTCATTGGTGTAATAAAGGGCTAAATGGCCAATAGCTAGGCAAGTAGAGGTTAGGTGGAACTTGTGGACAAAAATACTGGTGGTGGGAAGGGGGGTTGATGAAGAAGGCAGGGTCACCAGCCAGACACAAAGGAAGCAGGAGATGAACACTCTGTGTTGAAAAAAAAATGTACCACTCGTGTTAGAGTGTAGATAAGAAATATGGGTTAATTTAAGTTGAAAGAGCTAGTTAGTAACAAGCCTTAAGTATCAGCAGAGCATTTATAATTAATAATAGGTCTCTATGTAGTTATTTTGAGAGCCAGTAGTCCCAACGAAAAAATCCTGCCTATAATGTAATAGGTATTTAATTTAAAAATTAAAATGAGTTGTCGAAAAGTATTTTTGGCTTATTATTAGGAAACTTTTGCTGAAGCAGAAGTGGTTGTTCCAAACATGATCAAAAATATATCTGAGGCAGCTGTAATATGAAGGCTATAAGATGTCAATCACAAAAAATAAAGCTACATCTCAAGTATTGTCCGGTGATGAGAAGGTTATCCACATGGACCAATAGCATTTCACTGAAATGCAGGATTGAGACATTGATTTCATGAAAGAGATTCTTGAAAGAGGGAAGGCTATTAACCTTGACTCATCCAAGCCATGTAATATTTCTTGAAATTGAGAACAACTAAATAAGCCAAGATTTATGCCATAATAAAGTCACCTCTAAGAAAGAAAACAAAGTCTAGAGACCTTTGCAAACATGAAACATATGGAAACCCACAGTACTTTTGGGTCCACCAATCACTATAAAAAAAAATCACCAATCACTCTTTAAAAAATAATCAATCACTATAA